TAAATAAAACACTTTAACGGTTTAAAACGCGATATATTAGTTAAACTTATTTGGAAATGATTTTTAACTTTCGCCCGACGTTTCGGATGCTTTGCAGCAGCCGTGGTCACGGGGAGACCACGGCTTAGTGTCATTAGTTAAAATCATTTCCAAATAAGTTTAACTAATATATCGCGTTTTAAACTGTTAAAGTGTTTTATTTAAAGATTTAGATTAACTAAATAGACATTACTAAAAAACGTGACTTTTTTAACTTTGAAATGCCAATACTCAATTGTCTTTTAGCCCAACTTGTTCAGAAATTGTACATACTGAACAATTCTAAACTTATAAGAGAAAAGAATATTGGCCAGACATATTAGTGTGTCTGTTTAATGACTAAATGTATTGATACGCACTTTGCAGTTGAAGCACTTTCTGTTTCTTCGGGTTTCGAATCTAAGACGAGATCGTGTTACGAAGAAAGCTTACGATAGTTGTATCATAAACAATATGTCAATCAAATGATATCATGCATTGATAAGAAATTAATTATTATTCAAAGATACGCTATCACAGTGTTACCGGCGTATTACGTATTTATTGATGGGATTATACTTGTTGCGATGGCAAATGTTTTTTATATATAAATAGTAAATTGCAAGTGCCCCCACGGAGTCCCGGGTTCAAGGCCTGTGTCCAGCGAACTTCACTTTTTTGACGGGCGCATTGGTATAATGGCTTGATCCCCACCAGTCAAACATGTTTTCTAATTAATTAAATGGGTGGTGGGATAATTGAAGTTCAGCCCAGGAACGAACCACCATCTATAGATAAAAAGCCATGATCGCGTTTCGTTTTAGATTTTTCTGTTTATTTGGGATTTCCGAATTTTTTAAGCCAAATAGGTCTACAGTGCATTTTTGTTGAGATGTTATATTGCTGATGTATTTCATCTTCCATCAAATTTGTCTTCTTCTTTCGTAAAAAGCACTTCACTTTTTTGACGGGCGCATTGGTATAATGGTTTATATTTGGAAATATCTAAATCAATTTTTAGTAACAGGCCCGGAATTGGGAATTTTTCGATCTGTCCCGGTTATTACTATTTGATTTGTAGACGTAGAAATCATAGTAAACATCATCCTTTTTTCGTGATTGAGTAAATATTGTCCAAGACCGCCTTACTAATTCGTACGCTAATTATTTTCCCTATCACCACGAACGCTAAGGATATTATTGGTCGGCCTCGGATGCGCACGCGGCCTTATCCGTTCCCTTGTCTGGTGACAAACGGTGAATTTTTTATTTCTCTCCTGACGATGTGACCCGGAAATATTGGGAGGGTTTGTTTTGGCGCCAATTTTAACATTAGCTACGCCGTGCTTTGTAGTAATCGATTTTGTACATTGACAAAAAACATTACACTATGAGATATATTATTAGTTGTAAACAATGTAATAATTCTATCGCAATAGATATACGAGTTTCTGTATGGTAAAATAAGTTTATAAATCTATACTAATATATTAAACGGAAGAATTGGTTTGTTTGTTTGAACGCGCTAATCTCAGGAACTACGGGTTCGAATTGAAAAATTATTGTTGTGTTGGTTATAACATTTATCAAGGAAGGCTATATATAAAACATGTGACTAATACAAGCCAAGATACAGCGAAACTGTGAAAAAAAAACGGAATATCATCATTATGGGTAACCGAGGCGTACGGTTCAAGATACCGAAAAAATATGTACGAAAGAATGATTCCTCTTTAAATTATCTAAAATAGTCCGCGACGCTATATGTCTATCTTTTAAGATTAACTTGTAAGATCGACGGGAAGGGACTCGACCGACATCGTGGGTACCAGCTTAAGTTTATAAAGATACAAATTAAAATAAATATTCTTAGCGGATGAAGTCGCTATAATAAATAAATATAAGAGGCTCAGGCAGATTTACTTTTTACGTTATAGAATTTCATCGAATTTGATTTATATATCACATACCGTATACAGTATCTGTAAATTGACTATGGCTCTAGATAATTTTGAAATTTATGAAATATTAGAAAATCTTGAAAGGAAATCCCTTTCTCCCTTCCAAAACACTTAACAAAACGTATTAGTATTCTATATAGTTTATAGGCTGTCTAGCCTGTCTAGTTAGGTCAATTGGTCTGGAAATATAGACTAGAAATGGGTATGGTAGGAACAGCGAAATTCTGTCCAACAGACCGAACCACCACTGCCAAGTTACATAGATTAAAAAGGTGACCAGTTTAATCGCGTTTCGGTTTTAGTCTGATGTTTTCCAAATATCCAAAGCCAAAATAGGTTGACGACACATCTTCAAATCTTAGGACTGATGCATTTCATTCTTCATCAAATGAATCCTATACTATCGTGCTCAATCACAATGTAAGTAATGGCTTTGACAAAATTACAGCTATTTTACAATCGTGACCCCTTTTTTGCATACAGATAAGCATTATTAAATTAAAACATAAACAGTTCATTAAAAGACTATTAACCTTTAAACTGTAGTTGTTTTATGATAGTTTTTTTAATCAGTGGTTAGATTGGTAATAATTATTTAATTATTTTGCTAACTGATTGTTGATAAAACACTTTAACGGTTTGAAATGCGATATATTTTAGTGTTTTATTTAAATGTGTACGCATTTATCTAATTGATCTTTTACTTATTTTCGATGAAGGACAGACGTAATGAGGTATGATCACTTGATGGGAAATATCCCAGCCATATAACATCTAAGGAAGATGCGCTATTTTGGTTTTGGTTTAAAAAAAACCACAGACTGAAACTGAAACGCAATTAAACTTCAAGTCTCTTTCATCTGTGGAAGTTAGTTCGGGATCCGGATGGAATACCGATTTTTCACCACTTATTTAATATCCAGATTTCCAGATGAAGTCCAAAATGTTTTAGAAAAGATTATAAATTTAAAATTAGAAACATATTGGACTTTGACTGTTAGCCATACATTGCTACCGTTAGGCCAACGAGTCCAGAAAAAAATTAACAATTGTCATTTATAATTGTTAAGTTGCTAATTAAAAAAACTTAACAAATCTATGGGAATGGAAGTGAATATAACACAATAAAAAATTCTTTAGAAGCGCATCTTAAAAGACTGTTCACAAGATACATCCATTTTATCAAACGAGCGAACAAGTAAAAATGTCTAATATTAAGTAGAAAGAAACTTTAAATGTTAATAATATACACGGACCGTTTAACCAATAGAAAATATAATAGATTATTTATTGGCTAAGCGTTACGTATTTATATCTTCAAATATAAACTTTTCCAGCGTTCTCTTTACGTTTCCGCGAGTTCATAATTCTTATAAAGATTACGTGTTTGCGGTTTGTTTACGTATCGTCTTGCGATATTTACTTTTACAGGCGAGTTAGTGTTTATATCGTGTTCTTTAATAAAAATAAGTGATTTCCCGAGATCAGAATCCGCGAATCGTGAAATATTACTTTAACCGAATTTATTATTATAAAAGATGAATTAAACATTTTCTGTTCAAAATTTGTGCAAAGTAAATTTATTTGATTTAATAATTCTGTTTGAAGTCGCTCTTTTTTATCTTAAAAAATATTTTATTCATAACCTATATGGTTTAAATAAGTCCCAATATACCTATTGACGCCTTATGCAAAGGAAAGTTGGTTTGTATCACCTCAGATCCAAATTAATTTGTACATGTCTGTAGTTCTTTAACTGTGCGAGTAGTACATATTTAAATAAAACACTTTTAACGGTTGTCAACCGCGATATGTTAGTCAAACTTAAAACAAAACGTCGGGCCATAGATAAATTATATGAAGCAAGTTTAATTAGTTCATTCGCTACACATAACATAGGAACCGCGAGCACTTCCTCTTTGTCACAACGGCCTAAGGGCCTAATTTTTTTTATTTATTTGTAAACCTCGACAGAAACGAGTGTAAAGACGTAAGTGAAGTGAAGTCCTTTGTTCCTACGTAGGCTAGAGGACGAGCTCGTCGATTTAAAGGTAGCAAAGTTTTGTTCCACCCAGGACCTACATATTTTTAATGGAATCGTATGGAAGCTTGGATGTTAAACGGGTGGTATCAGAATTATGTTTGGCCAGAAAAATCCATGAAGTCGGTCATTTCGGTTTCAGTCTGTAAATTTTGAATATCGTTAAGTCAAAATAGGTTGGCAACACATCTTATTGAGATGTTATTAGGCTGGGGTATTTCAACTTCCATCAAATGAAGACTTTTAAATAAAACCGTCACGGGGAGTCACCCTCCCCGTGACCACGGCTGATGCAAAGCATCCGAAACGTCGGGCCGAAGTTAAAAATCATTTTCAAATAAGTTTAACTAATATATCGCGTTTTAAACCGTTAAAGTGTTTTATTTAGACTTGTCTTTTTGTCTGTTCTTTATCATAAAAAAGACATATTTATGTGTTTTATTGATCGAATCTACAAAAACTCTTAAACAGACTTCTATGCAGGATTGGAAGTTTTAGCAAAATTTCTATCGGATTTTAAAAACAGGACCTCCAGGATTTAACACAACGATAGGCAACACGTTTAACTATTGATAGTTGCTGATGTGTTGCCGCGGTTTTTGTATTTTCGATCTATCTTTTCTTTGTAAATGCGGCCGCCATTTGTATAACTAAAATGTCGTTCGGCGCATCTGTCAAACCCGTACTAGCGCTGCTGTCATCTGCCCATACAATTTGCCGCGCTTTTCTGTTGAACTCGTGCATGAAAACATCCATATATTGAGAAAACTTGTACATAACGCCAGTACATATGGAAACGCCGCGTGTGTTATACGTGCGGGAAAATTAATATGTGCGTCTCGTTCCGCGGTATTTCGGTCAACTTTTTTTAGAAGTGCTCGCCCTATGATGGGTTTTGTGTGATGTTTTAGAGTCGACGGAATATCTGTGATAATCTGTGGGCCTTTTATTTCATTTCAGTGAGATAGTATATAGTAGAAATGGCAGAAAAGTAAGTTAAATTTTTGATAAAGATTGATATGTTTTTTTGTAACGACAAAATATATAAACAGGTAAAAAGTACGATGAGTTGCCGGTCTATTTTTTAATTTTCATTCAATAGAGTTCGTTTTTTATGATCATAAGTAAAATAATTTTGACTATATTCGCTCATAATGAATAAAAATAAGTAGGTATTAGCCATTGTAAAAGCGTTTTAAAACTCGTTCATTATTTCGAATTCTTTTACGCGCTAACATTTGCATACTATTACCATATCTTTATTTAGTAATTGGGCAGTTTAGTTACAAGATATTTTAAAGATTTCAAGTTGAGATATAATGAAAATATCTTAAATTAGTAGTAATAGCACGTCTACTATGGCCTCGGGTTCGAGTTTAGCCAGAGATAAAATTGCTTTTAAATTTAAATAATTTTTCAATTACCTAATTATAAATTAACATGAAAAATTCTTATAAGGGAAATTCTTAAAATGCGTTGAAGTGGGCGTAATCTTTTTCCTTTTTTATAAATTCTCAACTAAACGAAATACTATTGGTGTTATGTAAAATTTCTGTAAGTTGCTTATAACAGTTAGGTATAAATTTGCAGCCTTTTTTAGAGTTGCTTGACTTTAATAACAATCATAACCAATTACGGAAATATTTGCTCACTATTAATAGGTAACAAAATAACACGAAACTGTTTATTTCATGTTTTTTGTCATGAGATTACGTATTTTTTAAAATAGTAAACTATAAAAAAATACTTAATTGTAATGTTCTGATTATCAACCGGTAATTTAATCATAATAATATTATGATTATAATTATATACACTACCACGTATTACTTTATTAGGATTATTACGAGATTTTGTAAATTAGTCATAACAACGCCCGACTTTGGAACATCGGTTTAAGGATCGTTGATATTAATAATTATTATATATTTACAATAAAAATATTTGCTTACTATTTATAGGTGACACAATACCGCGTAACTGTTTATTTTAATTGTATCCCAATTGCGGTCATATTGTTATTTGTACAAGTGTCAAAACGGCGTGATAAAAATACCGACTCTTATCAGACGAACGTCCGTAGTAAGTTGAACATACTATTTGATAGTGTTTGCAAACAGTGACGTTTAATTATAAGTACGTAATCTTTAAATAATAAAATTAAAAATCTGAATTAAAAGTACTTAAAATACAAAACATATGTGTATAGTTTTTACGAATGTTATTAAATAAAGATACGTTAAAATTTTTTCTTTTTGTCTTTTATATTAAAAAAAAACCTAAAACATAGTTAAAAAGTTACGATCTGGAGGATTTGAACCGGCATCCTCATCGAGCCGTGATGTTTCTCTAACCAACTGAGCTACCAGTCATTGGTTGAGCAACAGCAGTCCTTAATTTTTTTCAATTTGTAATCGATTTTTAATTTATAAGTGGCATCGTGTGAAAAATATTAAAGTTGTAAAACATAGTTTTGTTAATACCTACCGATAATTCAAACGTACGTAAATATCAGTAAATTCGAACCTCAGACGTCAAGAGCTGTTGGGTGTACTAAGCATGTTTATTATGTATGTAAATAAAAAAGCGAAAAGATATAATTTTTAAAGATCAATAATTACTTTGTAAAAAACTCTAAAAAGGTTCGGTAGTATACATGTTTAAATACAACACTTTAACGGTTTAAAACGCGATATATTAGGTCACGGGGAGTGACCCCGCCCCCGGGACCAGGGCGCCCGAAAAACCCCCAAAACCCCCCCCCAAAAGTTAAACTTTTTGCCGTTGTAAAGTGTATTATTTAACTTCGGCCCATCGTTTCGGATGCTTATGCAGCAGCCAGGGGAGTACATTCTCCCAGTAACCACTCTGTTCAAATAAGTTGAACTTATATATCGCGTTTTAAACTGTTAAAATAATCTTAATTTAAATGTGTACTTACTCCGTAAACCATAACAGTATTTAGTATACAATGTATTGTTTTGCGTAGTTAGGTAGTTATTACTTAATTTTAAATTACAGAACATTTAAATATTTTATTTAGTGCGTATTAATGTGCTTTCACAAAAAAAGTAATTTGAAACACAAACCGCTGTTTAGTTAAAATATTTGTTATGGAAAAATATTCTTATAAACAGCTCAAACAGGTCTTGTTATTTTTGCAAATTCAATCATGTGACTGCAAATATGGCCTATTAAGTCGTTAGATTTGTGTTTGTTGTTGATATTAATAGATTCTTGAATATTTATGAATTGGATTAAAAGGCTGGGTACAGACCAGATGCCTACCGTGTAATGTAATAAGGATACAATACCTAATTGGTTTGTTGTGAATGCCATTTCAAGTCCTGTCCGTGTCAATTTTATTTATAATCGACTTTTAATTTAGGATAAAATAAGTTTATCAACCAAAGGCACTATAATACGTTTTGATAAAATTCCTAATAAGTTACAAGCATTGTCAACAATTTAGTTTAAATCGTATCTAAAACAAAAACGGTTTGAAAAGGGTTATTTTAACGTTAATTAATATTTAAACGAAAAAAATGATTGAGGCTTGACCGTGCTCTAACAAGAAAAAGATCTCATGCACTCAAAGTATGAGAAGAACTGTAAAATAAAACTTGGCAATAAAGGAGTGGCGGCGAGATACTTGCCAGTTCTTCTCGTTCGTTCTGCGCCCTCGATTTGAGAAGTGGTAGTCATTTAAATAAAACACTTGGTCACGGGGAGGGGAAACATCGGGCCGAAGTTAAAAATCATTTTTAAATAAGTTTAACTAATCGCGTTTTAAACCGTTAAACTGTTTTATTTGAATGTCATACTTAAACTACAGACAGTAATTAAGTGGTAGTCAATTAAAATTTCGAGGTTTGAGTTATTAACTTGTGTGACGTTTATACGTGTACCTAGTTGACAGATTCGTTACACAACAATGAAACAACAGGTCGTGGGTTCGAACCCTCTCTGTGTCCAACATTTTTCTAATCAATTTATAATTTTTCTGAAACCTAATGATACCTGATACCTTCGTATGGAAATCTGAATGTTAAACGAGTGGTAGAAGTAATTTTTACGATATCAAGATTATACGTACTGACTGTACGAATGCTTGTTATAAGTTACCGTACATCGCGTGTGGTCAGTACCCATCTATAAGTGGTTTTATTATAGTTAATTTCATTTACTTGAATTTTTTTTCGCGCTTTAATTAGTTATTGAATATTAGACACTTATTTTATTTTGGTCAGAGTGAGGAATCTATAAGGGTAGTTGAACATGATACTTTAAGCATGCATACGACTAAATATTATCTTTAATTAATGCTTCGGGTGTCTTTTCCAATTTAAATAAGCGATTTGGCATTTGGCAACCGGTATTTTGATAAAACAAGTGGTTTTAGGTAGGCTTACCAATTTTTTTATTAAATAGGTCTACTAAACATGATTAACCTTTTTAAAGAAAACACTTTTAACGGTGCAAAACGCGAAATATAATATTACTTAACACACAATTTATTCTAAGTACGACCCGACGTTTCGGATGCTTTCCAATCGAGGTGGTCACGGATGGTCCTATGGGGGGGAGGGGATATGTTATGCGTTTGGAACCTTTAGTGTTTTATTTCAATGTGTCGTAACAGCTTAAGTTTATAAAGGTGAAGGGATTTGCAAAACGGATTTGGATGCCCAAATAACGACTGTCGCGTACGAAGTCGCTGACACAGATAATTTTAAATATATTAAGCATTATTATATGTTTACGGAACTTATTATATTTAGGTTTCGAATTGAGTTTAGCGTATTGAGGCACAAGGTTAAGGTTCTTGGAGTTATGCCAATCTTGTACTATCACGCTTTGATATCGTGCTCGGTCAACGCTCTTTGTCAACGCCATGGTGTTAACAAGCTAGCCAATACGATCAGTTTGTCCCTCTTTTACGAGTAAACGGCTATAGAGATTTTGATAAAATTGTTTATGCACATAAATGTAACGAATCAATAGAAGGATTAAAAATGCGAGTCTTTTTGTTAGTGTACATCGTTATGTCCCTTTAAAATCCAAACGGATTGACTAATTTAAATAAAACACTTTAACTGTTTTAAACGAGATTAATTAGTTAAACTTATTTGAAAATGATTTTTAACTTCGGCCCGACGTTTCGGATGCTTTGCAGCAGCCGTGGTCACGGGGAGACTAAAGATGGATGATGTTTCTGACGTCGAAGTAAAAATTGCTACGCTAGCGGCGAAGTTGGTATTTGGCGAAACTGGCCGGGACCTTACAGAATTGACTAACGGTGTCTTCGCGTTTGCCGGTATGCTGTTTATTTGGATGCAGAGTTTTTCATATGGGATCCCAGGTGTTTTATAATTTGAGGCCATCCTCCCTATTGAAATTTCGCTGTTTCCAAATAAGTTAACTAATATATCGCGTTTTAAACCGTTAAAGTATTTTATTTAAATGTGTACTACTCGCGTAAACTATAGACAGTATTTAGACTAGCGCAGTCAAAATAATTACCGATCAAAGTCCACTCCATTTTCGTCTAACCGATCCTTTGCCAAATGCTGAAATGAAGAAATACCCAGTCGACTATGCTTTGCCCACGCGGGAATTAACCATCTGGTTAAGGATGATTATGGTTTTACATCTTTTATTTATAAACTAGCAGACCTGTCAAACGTCTTTTACCATATAAAGCATTTAAGTAGCTGACTAAATTACTATAAAAACGTAAATTAAAATATACACATATTTTTTACATCACGGACAATTTTTACACGTTTTAAAGAGGAATCATTCTTTTCATATTTTTGGGTATCTCGAACCGTTTTCGCAGCCCACGCAACGGAAGCCCTCAAAGATAAATAATGATTTCCGTTCTTCAAATTTCCCACTGTTTATTCGCTCCTATTGGTCACAGATCTTTTATAGCTTAAAGCATTTTGACAAATGGTCCCACTAAAAATAAGTTTTCAATTCGAATCA